TAATATTTTTCTCAACGTTATTAACTCTAAATGATGACATATATCACATAAATAATCTTTCGAGTACTAAATTAATTAATAAATTTGTAATTTAGATATTAATTAAAAATTTTTAAATTTCAAGCAATATATTAAATTTTCATAACAATTCAAAAATTATTTATAATATTAATTTTTATTTAAATTATAAATTTATCAAAATCATCTCTTAAAAATAATTGTATAAAGTACTGGATTAAGTTTCGAAATTGAGCTTTGATAATTTGCCGCAAAACACAAATAACAATTTAAAACAGAGAAAGAATTACTATTGTAGTTTAGTTCGCAAGAGGGCAAACTTTGGAAATTAAGCAATGATAATAAACTTAAAAATAATAATAATAATAATAATAATAATCACTAGAAACGGGCCTCTAGATTCCAGTGCCTAATCAAGATTGGAATTTTAAACAAAAAAATTAAGAAATGAGTAAGTCTTTGTTAATTGTGTGTTACCTTGAGCTTGAAAGAACTCATCAGATCATCAACACCCATTCCATATTTCTTACAGCTACGCAACAACCCAAGTTTTGAACCAAGGCATTAAGGATAGATCAGATCAGAGAAATCCATCATCATCTATATGCAAAAACAATGAAACCGATTCAAAATTTTTGTTAACTTTTGTTAAGACAAAACAACGAGCTCTTTTTTTAAAAGTAAAACTCCTATCACATGTGATATGAAGGATTAATCCCCTAACCCCCCCCCTCCCCCCCCCCCAAAAAAAAATTAAATGAGAGTGTGTACATGCAACAAATTAAATTACTATAGTAGTAAATTAACCTCAAATTCTTCAACTTCTTCCTTTCACTCCAAAAGGTTTCATTACAGAAGAAATTAAACCTGAAAAAGGCCAAACTAAACAAAGAAACTCAAGAAAAGAACAGTTCATAACTTTAGCTGCCAAAAGTTGCAGAAGATTGATTAATGAAGAAAACTGAAAGGAAGTAGAAGACAATTTAATAAAGACTAGTAGTACTGATAGCAAAAAAGACTATCATAAAAGAGAGAGTTAGGGTTTTTCAAAGATACTAGTAACACAACATAACACAACAGGGGGCTAAGCCTAGGCTGCATGGTAATAACGTTAGGTTCAAACTAGGCCTGCATGGTACTAAGGTTAGGTTCAAATTACATGTTAGTAAAAAAAAAAATCTTGGATTATGTGATGTGAGTGACAGAAAGCGCAGGCTTCTGTTGTTTAGCTTTCTGTTTTCTTTCTTTATATATATATAGCTTGGCTTAACCTTGCTGGACCAATGCCTACGATGCAGCTCCACATTAACAAAAGCCTTGCTTGCTGCTTCTGCCTATGGGGTCTGCAATTTTTGCTCCTCATTTATCTCTGCAACTATTTGCGACTTCCCATGCTTTCTCCGTCTCTCCTTATATTTTTTAATTTTATTTTCCTTGGTTTTAAGCTTAATTTTTAATTAAAAAATCTCACATCCATTCGCAATTTCTAGTACTTTTCAAGAAGACACTATTATTAATTAAGTTTTGAAATTTATATTCTCAACAAGACTTGTCAATTGGTTGGTGGAATTGACCAGTTAGGTGTTTGTAAAAAATTTGGGTCAATTCAAGTTTGGATCACTTTTTTTTAGGTTATTTTAGACTTAGAATTTAAATTACTTCAGAATCAATTTATTAATTTAAAAAAAATAAAGTAAATATAAACAAATTATTTGATTTACTCAATTTTTACTATAATTCTACGGAAAAATAAAAAAGATAAATAATATTCTAAAAATAAATATAAATATTATAATTTATATGCTTTAGATTAAAGTTAATTTTTTAATATAAATGAAAAAAAAGTGATTTTACTTTTTTATTAAATTTAAATATTCTTACTTAATGTTTCATTATATTCATTAATTGGTTTTTTTTTAAATCCAACAAAATCGTTTCAATTTTCAATTTCGAACATGGTCATTATTTTTCTTAAGCCATCTAATATTAGTAGATTACCGCCACGGACCATTTACGTAATATACTAATGTGCTCGTATGGCAATATCTATATATGTTAAATACTTGGCTTATTTATAATATATTAATAAACATAAAAATTCAATTCAATTCAATTATAATAATATATAATTATTTTTTATTTTTTAATCACAACTAAGAATAACAATATTCAAAATTATGTAAAATTGTAATAGTAAAGAAAATATTTTAAAAGACAATTTAAAGTTATAGAATTAAAATAAATTAATAATTTGTTTATATTCATTATTTTTAATTAAATTAATATTTTTTAAAATAAAATTATACTTAATTTAAGTCGGATCAATTTTGAAACATTCGATTTTGGATAGTTTGGGTTCTAAGTGGTTTTCAAATTTAAGTTGTTATTGAGTTTGGGTTGTTTTTGGATTTGAAGTGTTCACTTTTTTATCAAATCAGGTTGATAGGGTTTGATTTTAGAAGGATTGAGTGAATTTTTTGAAATTGAATAAGATTTGACAGGTCCATTCTCAATGTTATTATTGTCTTCTTTCAAATGGTACTAATTAATAATAAAGCAAAGTTTTTTTTATCTTACGTAAAATGCTATTTCTGTACTACTTGAATAATATTTTAGTTTGACCAGATACGTCCAACTCATACACTCATTTCACACATTTGCTTCTTATTCTAGGACTTAAGTAAAATGTAATAAAAATTTTATGCATGATAATAAAATTTTGAATGCACATATATTATGTGAGTGTGTAAAATAAGTGTATATGGCATATTTCTCTTGGTTAATCTTCTAGTTTGAACAATAATTTTATTTTTCTGATAAAAATTATTGTTTTAATTACCTAAGTCATTTTAATTGAAATTAGGAATACACATATGAGACATGGCATGACTAATTAATTAATAGTCATAGATATAGTTCTTTGCAGGTTAAGAAACTCAAATGAGCAAGTAGTATTTCACGCAAATATGTAACATATCCTGTTGTGTTTTAACACACTTAGGCTAGTTAAAAAAAGCACACACACATTTTGGCTTGAATTATTATAAAAAAAGAACATATACTTTCATCAAAAATTACTTCACTTAGAACTAATATGCAAAAAGCACTTCATCAAATATCACTTTATCGAAAAGAAGAAATAAAAATAACATGAAATATGATAAGAATCTTAAGTTAACTTTGCTTTGGGATGTTTCAAAAAATTTAATTTGATGAATCAAATATAAAAATAATTAAAAAATTCCCTTTTAACCTGTCGCTTAAATATAATGAACTATTTACTATTAATTATCACCAAAAGCGAAATTTGAATTAGACAAACATTAAAACTTTTATAACTATCAATAACTATCATTATGTTTACTTAACACCATTATGTAACGCCCTTTTTGAAAAACTATGTATTTTACAGAATCATCATTATGTCCATCTACCATTGCAATTAACATCTTAGAATCTGTTCCAATTTTTCATGTCCGTTACCAAAAGAACGGATTTACACAGTTTTATGGGAATGGATTGGAATTTATCTGTCTATATGTAGGCTCTGTCTGGAAATTTATAGGATGACACGTTTCCTGTAATTAAGACGTATGGTCTAGCTAGCTTGCTATAAAGTCAGCTGGAATGGATCTGCTCCTGGAAAGGGATCGAGAAACCCTCATGCAGTAATTTTGAAAGAAAAGGAGGCAACAAAATCCTTGCCAACCTGCAAAAAATAACCCAGAATCTAGGAGAGAATCCAACTGAACATAAAAGAAAATCTACCCAGATATGGTAAAAATTTCTTTCCATTCCTCCTGTAATATTATCTCTTTAACGCATGATATTAGCCATCTTACTCTTGTGGGGACTCCAATTCTGCATTATTTTTGTATTGATGTACAAAACATTGTTGCATTTATGAATGTTTTTGTACTCATAACAATATATAGATATATAAATACGGAAATAGCACGTATCTAGCCACATATAAATATTTTCTGATAAATAATGTGTTGAGTAATTTGTATAAAGCATATATATATATATATATCTTTACTCTTAAAGTTTGCATTAAATATTATACATACGCTACCATCCCTTTTGCCCTCTTCGAATTTCTATCAACTAAAACAATTCGTTAAAATATTATTTTTGATCATATATTTTTGTTCTTATATTAGTCTCACACGACGTTAAATTTTTTTTAAAATTTTATATTATATATATATATATATATATGAGTAAATTAATCCTGCTATAAATTATCAGATGAATAATGTGAACAAAAATTTAGGATAAATAGCTGAATAGTAACGCTTTAAATTGATCAAGCATGTTGTAAAGGAGTGAAAATTACTGTCAAAACTGCAGAGCAATAAATTCATGTTGGATGGTTTACGGGAAAGAAGATTGTAGAAAGCAGAAATTATATTCATTTGTGAACCCTAGGTGACAGGCATTAATGGCCACATCAAAATCAAAATTTTTACAAACTACGCAGCCTTTTCTTTTTGTAGTTGTAGAATTAATAACCTTCCTTACAAATCAATTATCAACAGCTGTGAAACGAAATGGAAAAAACAATACAAAGGGTACGTCAGCCACTTTTTGACCGTCGTCTGCACATTTCTTTAGATCTTTAAGGATCCCCAACAGAGATTGCAGAATCCAACCACTTTTTGCTTTGTACAAAATTAATCGCATTAGTCTTGGGGCACACAAAGACATATGTACGAAGTGCGCAGTGATTAAAATGTGGGATCCTCCTGCCCCATCAGAACTGATATGACACCTATCCCAAGCACTTCAGTTGAAAAATATATGTAGGAAATTCAAATGCAAAGTTCGATTGTTTAAGCAAAAAAAAAAAATATATATATATATATATATATATAAAGCTAACGCATTTCCACGGCAGCTGCATCCAATTTCTATGTTTTAGAGAACCTGTACACCACACCTGTTTTAGTTAAGCTCTAAAAGGTTACCAATCAAACTTTTAGAAGATTGGAATCTGCAGGACATGGTTTTTCAAAACTCTTTACCACACCATGCCCGTATTATGATGGAAGAGAAAACAGTAACAGGAGAAGGAAAGAAAAAAGAGGCACTTAATTCAAAATAAGAAGGTTAATATTTAAAACTAAACATCTACATACAGCTAGGTCCAAAAAGTCGATCCAGCAACATATCAATGGTGACATTATAGGCCAACTACTCAGACTATGACTTATTCAGTGTCTTGTTTTTAATTTTTATTCGGAATTTGGGCGGCGCTGAAGTACCTTCTTTTGGCTCGCTCCTGGTTTCCGCCACTTTGTGGGGGTCACTTGGTTTTAATTGCACGGTTGCTGAACTGATATCCACTTCCTCCTTTTTACCAGGCAAATCTGTTAAAGACGTCGGTTCCTCTTTCTTATCTCGCAACTCAGTTGAAGTTGCCTTCACTTCACTCAGTAGCATTGCCATCTCCTTTTCCTTCTGTTTTTTCTCCTTTTTCAATCGCTTCTTCTCTAAATACTCGGGATTATCTCGGTCTCCTTTATGGTCTTCCCGCTTTCGTTTATTTTCCTTAACTTTCTTCTCCTTCTTCTTCTTCTTCTTCCCCTTCTCCTTCTCTCGGAATGGAGAATCCACAGCACCCAACGAAAAGCCATCATGTCTTGAAACTGATAGTGTTTGTAGACTCGCATACTTCTGTGCTTCAGCATCTACGTAGTTATCTTGAATGATGCTAGGCGATGAGGGATCATCAGGGTGCACCGAAACATTATCTGAATCAGCAGTACACTGAAGTTCCTTTCCAAAGTTGTCACCCTCACTTGCAATTTTTGCACTCCCAATGCTAGCAGTAATCCGAGACCCATGATCATGAAATGAGTTGACTTCTTCAATATTTTGATTGCTAATGCTCACAGCCTCAGCTGAATTTCTTTGGGGTGCATCCACTGAAACAGAACTGGTTGCACCCCGATCAGTATCATGATGCTTTCCTTGTGATCTCTCCCCACCCTGAGATCTTTCGACGGTACCATTGTCAGCTTCCTCTGCTTTACTGGTTGTGGCAGACTGCTTGACCCTAATCTTGACTACAGCTGTCTTCCTCTCATGACTGTTGGAAACAGTATCCAATTCCTTTGACGCTTCTGGAATTGCCGAGGTATCATGCAGGCTTGGGTTGTCCGCAGAAGGTTGAGAAGGCTTCATCTCGGCAACAAGAGCCGCAAAATTATTCTTCTGCTCATGGCAAATCTCCACATCACCAATACGTGGTAACTTATCTTTTGGCAGTCCATAAAGTGTAGGGGATCTGAAAATAACAGCTCAAAACTTGATTACTAAATTTTTATTTGAAAATAAGACAAACATATTGGATTCTCAAAAAGAAATTACAAATTCAAAGAAAAAAAAACAGAAAAGAAATTACAAATTTCTAATATAAACTTCTTATACATAGCAAAAATGTTTAGAGAAAAAAAAAACAGCAGAACAAATCAAATTCAACAGTATATTTATTCGCATTGGACCATAAAAACAAAAGAAAGAAAGAAAAGAATTACTAACAAGCTCCCAAATGCAGCCACAGGAAACTAGGTTTTCTCATTCTTTGACGTCGTTGCAATTTTTGGCAAATCAGAAGTTTTAAATGCTGGAGCAAATCTATAATTTTCTCACAATTTCAGCAAATTAGGGGGTATACAGCTACTTTAATCGAGTCTCAAGCTTCTAGAGTTTACACAAAGAGTTTAAATTTATTTACATGTAATTAAACTTTGACAGTTACGTATTTGCGTTGGGTATTCCTGATTCATGCAAGTCAAAGAGAGGTTATTTCTATTTTGTTCTATTTCATTTTATTGCTAGAGAAATGGACTATCTATGTTTATGGATTTCATTCCATCGAGCCACAAGAAACTCCGCTAACTCACTGGAAAAGGAAAAGAAGCTAAAATATTTGGCCCTATGTGCAGATTCAATCAATTCGTGCTGGTTACTCCAGTTATACCATAAAAGCTCTATTCTAACTTCTTCCAAGAATCTTCAAACCATCATTTAACCGTTAACCTGCAGATACCAACCCTTTTCCCATAACTGAAGACCCTAAACTCAATAAGATTTTGAAACAAAAACTCAGTACAAGCCACATTGGAAGATCATCTCAATCATGTCCACATCACTCCCCATATGGGACTCTTCTTGACCTCCTTACTAAAGAAAATTACCATAATATGCCAAAGCTAGAATTGTATACTAATCATGGTCGACATATTCATCTGCTTATCAAATAGCAGGAGTCTGAGTGCATCAAGTAAGCAATGAATCAACAGGAAAACCTTCAAAAGACTCAATAATAGTAACAGAATTATATGCTTTCAATCATCAGATGCATTTTCTTCCCAGCAATATTATCAACAAATATGAAACAACCATATATCCAAAGGAAAGCTTTAATCCTAAAGAGACAAATGATAACGTATATACCCACCGTCCTGCAAGAACTTGTAAAATGCAGAACAAGTAGTGCCGGAGAAATACATTATTGAATGCTGTACGGCTTTCTAAAAGCTGAAGCAAAGCCACAAGAGTTGTTTCCTTAATATCCTCATTAGAAACAGATCCAGCTTGTATCTGACATAACCGCATAGCATGCACTCCCAACTTTACCTGCCCTGCAATCAGAGAATGTATAACAAAATCAAATTTTAAATGAGTACAAAGTACAATTAAATATTACCAAAAAAGAAAGAAAGAAGAAAGAAACACAGTTTTTGATTTATACTGGAGGGAACCTCTTAAAGAAGGCTCTTCCTCTATATATTTGATAAACAACAACAACGCTGCATCGATGCCATTGCAATGGAACTCAAGATCAAGGAGTGCTCTGCTTGCTTCTATTCGAACTTGCCAGATTGTCTCGAAATCTCGAAATGGTTTAATTAGTTCAAAGACATGATCCTGCAGTGAGAAACAAACTCTATATGTAAATTATAAAGAATTATGCAAAAAATACATTATCAGCTAAGGGACCAGAGAAGGACACACTAGATGGATGAATCCAGACAGCTTTAATGCAATTTGAGCCAAGGTTCGGATGCAACTGGTTGTCAATATCCCATTGTAACTAGGCATCAACCTGGGAAGCAGCATTTCTAATTAGACGCAAATGACAGGAAGATTATGTGGAACAATTGGTCTTTATCAAACAGATCAGAAGAGAATCATCACCTGTCAAATTGCAAAAGCCGATCGATGCGCTTGAGAAGAGAAGATAAAAAGACCATACTCTGAAATAAGGGAAAGGAAGAAACAAAAGCAGATAGGTTAGCCTTCTGATGATTGCTTTAGGAAATGGCATAGGTGATGCATGACCAAAACCAAAATCTAGAACATTGGTAAAATATTCTTTACTCATGACATATTCAGTAAGCCAAAATGAAATTTAAGAAAAAAACAAACTTTCCAGAATGGAAATTGAAAGAATTAACTGTAGCAGTAGCACCAGAGGAAAGCAATTCTTATGCATTTTCAGATTTTCACATGCATCTGTCCATTGCACATGCATGTATGAGGATATGAGAGCAAGAGAGGAAGTATGCTGATGATGAGGGACTGATGGTTAATTGGTTATGAATAGGTTTCCCTAATTTTCAGAAGCCTAGAATGGGGAAAATTAACCCACACACAACAAGAAAGGCTCTAATTTCTTAAGGATCATGTACTGTTATTTAAACGGTTATTTCTTGTAGGTTATAGAACAGAAAAAAGAATCACATTAGCAGGAACTTATAGAAGAAAAAAACCCACAGTAGTTTAAACAAATTAAGAAACAAAACGGAAAGGTATTAAAAGTAAAATTATATTTATAAACCTGTTGCCCAAATTCGAGTTCACCAACTGACTGCACTACTGCAGCAAGCCAGAATACGTCAGAGTAAGGATTCCCATTATTATCATTATACTGTCCAAGAGAAGTGAAAAAAAAGAAAGCCAGAATAAGAAAGGGGATAAAGTATCAAGCGTAAGAACCAAAGCAAATAAATAAAGCACTGTTTGTAAAAATAAACAACCATACCACATTGTCATTGATAGTGAATCACATCATACAGAATGCATTCATTGCATGCTAAATGATGCAAGAGTAGAACAATAAGCAGTGCATGATTACTAATATTCACAAAATGTAAAGTATGATTCTCCCAAAAGTTTTAAGAGTGATCTCTACATTTATGCATGAACTAGAGAATTACTACAAGTCCTTTGCTTGACATGCTGAAATTCTTTCATTCAATTCAATATTATGGGTCCCATTCCACATCTTCAACCTTAAAAATCTTTTAACTGATTTAACTGTCGCAAGTCATACACAATACACAGATGCATGAAATTAGTTATACACAATTATTATTCATCTTTAAGGTTATTGTCTAAATGTCTCATTTATTATTTGCTTCTCTTTGACATTGTGAAGTATTAGCACAAGCCTTTTTAACTAAGAGAAAGGAAGTCCTAGTCCCTCCAAGTCTCTTTCTGTGCATGGAGAACCACCTTATATAGCACTTCAATGGCAGAAAATATGTTATGTTAAGTAGAAATATTGATATTAGTTGATGCTCACAATGTAAATGAGACGAAATAAATGAATCATTTTATCATGAATATATTACTGTTCAAGAAATCTGTAACATCTTTGACCATCCAGATATGGTTGTTGATGCTTTGTCTAGATGTAGAGATGAGGGAGGCCAAGATTGTGCAGAAGTTAACTTAGTATATTTTGCGGAGTCTATGGAAGGAGTGATAGCAGAAATTGACAAAATGGAAAGCCTTATTTTTGTGCAGTCTTCTGCATGTCGTACATGTTTTTCACTTTGCCTAACCTACCAAGACACATGCTATGCTCGATGTCCTTTTAGATCTCGCAGAAGTTCAAATTTTAGAATTTAATTTTTGCATGTAATTTATTATTCTCTTTGCATACTTCTCATCTAAACTCCCATGCACTTTGTTATGCTCCTAGTGATTTCTCTCTTCAACAGTTTTTATCATCCAATACAAAGGTCTCTTCTAAATTTTGCAAAACATTTTTAACTTTTTGCGGCTAACATGCAATAATCATGTATAAAAATTAGAAATATAATATAACATTACACATGCATGACATATTGAAAACAATCTAACAAATTTTGAAATTTTGGAAATGAAGCATAAAGTCTCATATCCTCTTTTTCTTCAAATTTCTTTTTATTTAGCTTAGTTTTGTTCTTTTCAGTTTCATCTAATGCATATTCTCTTGTACATTCATTCTTTTACATAACATTACATAAAACACTAAGACAACATAAATTAGACATAATAATGCTTGCCGACTAACCAAAACCTCAACATACATACATAAAATTTGTATTGGAGGTTCACACTAACAGCATTCTTGTAAAAATCAAAACTTATCTTGCAGAAAAAATTGAAGACTAAAGAAAGAGGTATTATAATCGACTAACTACTAAGTTATCCACCTTAAAATCAATTGGAAGTAAGTGAAAAAGTTCATCCTGAATATAAGATCTGAACAAAACCCAAACCAATTAATTTAGGAAACATTATTACTCAACAAGTGATGGTCAAGGGGAGTTTAAACAGTTTTAATGAAGAAAATTGATCAAGAACTGCAACTGAAAGACAAGAAAATAGCTCAAGTATTCACTCAAGTAGTTATAGCCCAAATTTAATAACGCTTTATTTGGTAGCTACTTTTGCCATTTGCTTGTAACTTTCATAAGCAAAAAACAAAAAATGCATTTGGATTAAAAAAAGCAAATATGATTTCGAAAATCAAAAATTAAAATTGTAAATTATTGTGGGGAATAAAAATACGGAGAACAAAAATACAGAAAAACTATGTTAGAATTGGTGTTGTATTTTGGTTATTAATTTTCAACTATAATGAATTTTTCTTGTTACCATTTGCTTTTTCATTTAAAGAAGCAAAAGAACATAGCAAAAAGTAAGCAGCAAAAGCAGCAACGAAATAGAGCCCAAGTAACTGCAGAAGAGCTGCCGAACAGGCAACATGCTTAGTATCTATATGAAATAGGCAAATGTTCTGTTTATGCCAGAATTTTAGAGTTCAAAAAAATTGAGAAGTTAAATCACGAATTTATATGAGTTTAAAATCTTTTTAGCCAGATCAAATGATCATCCTCCCCAAAAGAAGAAAAGCAAAAGGAAACAATTAAAACTTTACGGTTCTGCTAAGAATTTTTTTTTTGGTTGGTTTGGATGGGTTGGGGGGGTGGCTGTGGGGAGAGGGGTCAAGAAATGGCTAACTGCAAAAGTTTCATCAAACAGTAAAAGGCCCGGCAATACAGGATCTAACAAGGATATCGCATTACAGTCTTCTCAGTCAAAATCTCATAATAGATCAGCAACTTCATGCCAAACAATTCACCGGGTGTAATCTACCAAGGAAACTAAAGTTCTTGAACAAGTTTTGGAACATTTATGAAGATGAATGGGATTCTATGAGAATTCTTTTGAACAAATTCTCACATTCTTCAGAGAATTCCCAAAGCAAACTAAAAAATGCAAGTTTTACTCTATCCCCTTCTCCCTATTCTCTCTGCTTCTGGTAAGTTAACAATGCAAATTACCAAAGAAAAAAGGCTCCATTATTCCATGCAGCACCAATGAACCATGCATCATTGATTTAATCACTCAAACGTATTTTATATATTGCAAAATTAGGAAGCCAACCGCCTCTTTTTTCTCTTTTATTTACAAGTAAACCATGCAAATCAAAAGAAAGAAATAAAGTTTCTATCATCTTATGCAGCAACCGGCAGCTTCGTATCATCGGTTACTTGTTCAAAGATATTTTCTACATAGCAGAATCAGAAAGCTGCCACTAATGTAGATTGATTTGTATGACTATTCAATAATCTTGTTGATGCTTTTAAAATAAGTGATGGCCAAGGAAAATCCTACCTTCAAAAGTTGCAGAACAAACTCAACAGCTTCTCTTGGGCTTTTCCTGTCTGCAGCTCTTACCATAGCTACAGCACGTGGGATGGCCTAAGAAACAAAAGAAAACGAAAAAAAAAAAGTTTCAGAAACTTTCAAAAATTACATTTTAGTTATAAATTTAGCAAACCAGACTTTAGTAGCAATACATACGAGAGGCATCTCAAAGTAATGACAGTATACTGGACATTGTTCACTTCTATCTTCTAAGCCAGAGTGAGCCCAAAAAGTTCCATGTGGAAACTAGAGTTACCTAATTTGCCTAAAAGCTCCACATGGAAAAAGGAATTACCTAATGTTTACTATTTTGGAGCTTTATCGTCCCTTTTCAAATCATTAGATTAATAATTTCTCACATAGTGTTTGATTCAACCTCCATAAACCAACAATTGCACATGCAACAGAGGCATCCAAGCTAGTTATAGTGTCTTACAGAAACAACATCATAAAGTACGTAGTTTACCACATAGCCTACCTCATTGCATTACCTCAAGAACAAAGTACTCTGGAAAATCACGGAAGTCATTTGGTCTGGCAAGTTCAGCAGGAGATGGAACTTCTTATAAGGTCATTTTAACAATCATTGATGAAATGAGACTGTAGTTTAAGAAACTCACTTCGGGAGTCCAATATCAGCATCGAACCTTCGACTTTTATAAAATTTCACCAGATGTTGCAAACCAGTAAAATCAGTTTCCTGCCAGACAATGAAATAAACCTTACATGTCTAAAGCAAATGTATAAAAATAAAAAGGATGATGACAAAAGCCATATTAAATATGCAAAATATTAAAGAAAAGTTGAACAGCACAATTACTTTTACTATAGTTTTAAAATTACCAAACAACATTAAAAATTAATACTAATTGTGTTACAAATTATAATATATCTCACTGCTGAACAACCAAAGAAACAATTTCAAGCTCCATGTTCATTATATGTGAGAGTTAGACGTTAATAGAAAATATCAATCCATGCCACATTTAAAGCATCATGCAACAACTCCAAAATTCAAGTTAAGAATAATTTTAGTGAAACTCAAGAAAACATGCAATTGTTACAAAATAAGATTCAAAATCATAACATAATTTTCCAATAAAAAACACCTAAAGCTACTAATTTTGGTTAACATTGCATAAATAAATAAAATTTCATGACAACTATATTAATGAATATCACAAAAATGCTGGCAATGATACCTCAGAAGATGTACTAGCCAATGCAAATGCTGCCTCGATTCGAACTCTCCAGAAGGCCTTGACACCACAAGAAAAATTAAAATGAAGGAATTCCACTTAGTACAACTCATAACTAAGTATGTCTTTAGAGAGCAGAAAGAACCTTGGAATCAGTCAGGAAATTATTCAGAGCCTTGACAACAGAAAATGAAAGCTCTGGTAAAGATTCCAAAGCTGTGATGGCTTGTGCCTGCGCAACAACATCTTCATCCTTCTCTAACTGATTAATCTGATAATTTTACCAATTTTAAGAAATTAGTACCAATTGACAAATTAAAAAATCATTGGAAGTGACTTATAAACAGAAACAGAAGCAGATAAATCACGGCGAACAAAATAAGTACAACAACAGAAATCTTGAATTAAGCAGGTTCCTTGTTTGATTTTATCAGATACAATTAGTTTTTAGAAATCTTTCCCTTTAATCCAATTTTTTATCAGAGACAAATAACTGGGCATCAGCAGGTTAAAAAAAGATTTCAAGTATAAATTTAAAACTTGTTGAAGTATTTGAATACATTGTAATGCTATAGTCTACCTGGGAGGTATAATAATACTAGAGCATATCTTAGGTTAGACTTATGGTTGTTAGGCTGGTTAGCCACAATTTTACAAGCTAACAAGAACAGAGTTGAAATTATGGCTTAATTCCTTAGGGTGATCCACCACATGAAGGGTTAGAAAGAATGCTCTCCATAATATCCTACAAACTCAAAGTAAGCTTGTTTTAGTTTCTTACTTTCTCTATATAATTCTTCTTTTTCATATAAGGCAAATTCAAGTTTAAAAAATGCAGGATTCAAACATTTGAGTTTCATTAAATACAATCTTCGAACTTATCAAAAATGTAATTGATTGAGCTTACAAGTTTGTTGCCTAAATTACTGTTAACTCAGAAAGAACACTAAGCAAAAATTGGATGTTAAATATAACATGTTTACAATTTTCAGACATTCTATGAAAACTGCAGTTAAGCCTACAAACTTTTTAATATGTGATAAAATTAAAGATGATACTGGCTATATTTCCATACAGACCTCATTTAGAACATAAACCTTCAAAACATCTTAAAATTCAATAAAGGTTTTATTAAGTTCACCAAAGCTTTGGGAATTAATGTTTGAAGAAACAGTTCATGGTTTCGTTAACAGTATATAGATAACAGGTACAGGTGAAAGCTCGTTACTAAACAGCATTCCATTCATGTAAAATAAATTGGATGTCATCACACGTGAATTATTTTCGAAAAAGAAGAAAAGAAAAGAAGAAAATTCAAACAAAAAAGGTGAGTTTCCAACAAATTTAGCAAAAAAAATACTAAGTAGATTAGCATGCCATCTTTGATATTGACACTCCAATGTTGCATCATCCAAAATATTGAAACATGAGTGAGTGGTTTTACGACATCAGTTATTTGGAAAAAAAAACAAGAATGGAGAGGAATAAGTATGAAAATCTTTCCTTGTTGCATGGGAGGAAAGAAAGGGATTACATACAAGATAGAGGAAGGCTATTTGCGTATGAAAACATCTAAGAGGACATTGCATGTGTTATAATCACATTTTAGGGAAAAGCAACCCTTTCAATTTAGCCCTAGAAAAAATTTCAAGTCCAACTAGACTATTGCCGTGCATAATATGATATGATGATCCTAGCAAAGATAAAGACTATGATCATATATCCTTCAACAGATTCAAATGGGGAATATTTCATGTGCATCCAGAATTTCTATTTCTTTGTCGTCAATAAGAGGTGGGTTTAATTATCTAGGGTATAATTAATGGAATAAGAAATTGATTTAGACAATCTAAGCTGGATGAACACAAGAAAACAGGTGTTATATTCCTGCAAGGACAGTTGGTGAATGATAGAAGAATTGTCAACCTTTGGCTAAAAAATGTTAAGTAGGAACATCTCTGCAGTTTGGTTAAGCATTTTACAACCATGCAGAGAGTAACAACCAATAATTCCCCCTAATTGTAGGAAAAGTAAACCTTAAATCAACAAAGATATATAAGAGGAAGATATAACTTAATAAACCTTAGGCACTTAATGATCTTGAAACTGTCAAGGAACATGTCCTGGCAAGTGACCTACTTCAGGCTAAGGTTATGCAAAAACATTGACAAACTTCAGCTAGAAAGGAGAACAATAGCTTCTTACCCACATCTGTACAGGTTGATTAAAATGAATTTCAGCAAGATATTCCATCTCCGGATCTGCCCTAATCCACAACAATGGGGATTCTACACTGCAAAAGAACAATTAACCATAGAAGAATGTGTTAGCTTGATCTAGAACAAGATATACAACAAAAGCCATACATTGAGATAATAAAATACCTAGAGCGCATATCTACAGTGGGTATATCACCATTATCATCAGAGCCATCAGGTTTTGAACCCTTTTTAGGCTTCTGGTAGCGTCTAGCAGCAAGCTTTGAGTGGCATGCTATTTCCAGCAGCTGCCACGCATCTCCAGCCATTGGAAGATCCGGATGATCAGACATGCCGTCAAGTTCATAAACCCTGACAGTCATAACGCCAGGCCATCCGATATCACCATCATGGTTTTCAGAATCAGGGTTAGCATTTAGAACTGATACACTTGAATCAATTGTGGCTGTGCATTCCCGCAAAACAGCCAACTCAATGATATTTTTCCGCTTGTTGTAGGAAAACCCCATCCTTACAAAATTAAGGGTAAAAAAGAAAAATAATATTTAAGCAAATAAAACCAGTAACAGAATGCCAAATGCAAAAGACATGAAATGCCTGATTCACTTAAATCATACCTGAGCACTGGACATCCATATGATCCCACCCACCGAGGAAAAAATTCTTTGAGAAACGGACGCTCCAGATTTCCAATTTTGTTAGCAAAATGCCGGAACTGCATATAACAGTTTATCTGTTAATTAAGGAAATATACATGCAACTAATTTGTATCTAAATGTTAAATAAAACTATTACAGACTTTCATGAAAAGAAAACAAATTCCTCACATTTCCTGTTATCCACAAAAAATAAACATAAAAATATAGCCATGCAAAACAATAAACAACTTAGGATCTGTTGGGGATTACTTTTGTTTTGTCTTCCTATTTGATATCACTTTCTTTTTTTTATTTTTGCCCCTTTTTTTTTTCTTTTTTGCAAACTAGAGGAAAAACATGTTTGGTGAGTATGTTTTCATTTTGAGAAAAAAATCTGAAAACAAAATTTCTGAAATTGTTACAAGCAAGAAATTGTTTTCTAATATTTTCGAAATCTTTTCAGCACTGTTCACCAGGTGGGTAAGCCAGGGTTAGCAGTACCCAGTGAGAACAGTGCCAAATTTTTACTTAAAGATCAGAAGAGTCTAAGAAAATTGACAGGGGAAGGGCTCAAACCCCTGCAATTTCACTAATTCAAGCTTCAGCCACTTTTCCTTATGGACCCTTGCTGTCAAATTACTGCATCAAAAACATTATGGCCAAGCATGTTCTCAAATTCAATAAGTTTCAAATGAAGCAAAACAAAACCGTTCCAGAATATAAAACACAAAATTTGAAACAATGGAACCTTAGTTATTTAACAAATAGATTCTGTAGATGCCTCTAATTTAAAAATTAACGCCACATCAACATTTTCCATAATTATTGTCATTATTGCTGTTACTAAACACTTTAATTATTGTATTTTGAAATCATACTTGGTACTAATAAATCTCTTTTCCAAATATGTAATGATATGCAGGCCAACCCACAAACTACAATGGAGAATTTGAGTTTCAGCATAAATGCCCAACCTAATTAAGGATTATTAACGACATTGAATTAGCTTGGGAGTTGAGATAGGATCTCAACAAAAATTCCAAGCTTTGGAGTAATGAAAAGAAAAAAAAATCAGTTTGGTGCGCTTCAAGATCATAATCAGGTTCAATTTTTAGCCTCCTCTACATAGCTCAAATACCGTTGTGCCATCCGATGCCTGCCTGACAACATCTTAAAAATTAATTTTCCCATTTGTCAACCGCATTTATAGTCTAACAACAAACTTCTCTATTTTCTATTTTACTAGTTACTACTCCAAAAACACTTTCTCCATGAGCAATCTTGCCTAACACATCTAATTACGACCTATAGTCTCAACTAAATGCTCACACATTCTCATATCAACATTTGCCCACTAACAAGTTCACTGCACTAAGAACAATGTCAGGGGATTTACTTTGAAACTACTTTTACCTTCAACAAAGTGTTTTCTTCTGACATTGTTTCCCTTATGATAATCATGAATTATAACTATTTTACCACTTTTTACCAAACAGAAAGAATTGGAGCAACCAAAAAATTTCAGTTACATAGGTTTTCAGTTAAAATAGTAGACATCTTTTTTTTTTTTAATGAAAATTACAAATACAAGTTACAATCATAATCCACTATCACATCCATATAAAATATATCATTGAATAATCAACTAAAAAACTAGAACATAACTAGACAACCAAACCCAAACACAATAGGACTTGAACCTAGGACCTCAAGGTTCTAGGCCCCCTCCATGCCATTAAGCTTAGGCATCATTGGAGACATATCTTGTCTTGTTAATTAAATTTGTCAAAAACTTAATCTAATTAATCAAACTGACCTACAGCTCGCACCTAGAACAGATAGGCATCAGGTTATGCCTAGTAAGTGCCATCATGTAAAGAAAACCATATATAAGAAAACTGAAAATCAGTAAAAACACTGAAAGGTAATTAATAAATAGCTGGTACATAGATGAGAACCAAGAAGTAACAAAATATGATCACCTCTTTCGTACTAAGAGACCTCACAGGGCAAGTTGTATTTTGTGCACGATAAATTATTGCTTGCAAAATCTGCATATGACAAAAAGAAAACCAAGAACAAAAGATTATCAACAAAAGAAGTTGATTCCACAATCCACGCATTGAAGACATTAGAATTAGGACGAGCTGGGATAGTTATATGATTTGTATTAGCGCCCCCCCCCCCCCCCCAAAAAAAAAAACATAAAATCCAAATAAGACAACTACAAGAGTCAAGACGATAGGCACACACCTTTTTGAAGAAGTCAGGTCCCATCTGCTTTTCCAACATCTGAAGAATTGCCACCTTCAAGAGAAAAAATTAATCAACAAACGGCCAAAAGAAAAAATAAAAGACGATAGTGTTTGTGCTCCCTTGGTTGTTTCTGACTCTTCCACTTGAAATTGATTTTATTGGTATTTGCTTCCAGAAACAAAAAGTAAAAAGTCCATTTTGAAACAAGAGCAGATAACATTTTTGACAAATTAATATTAAAAATTTAACTTTTTATCAATATCATAATGCATGATTATACTTGTATATGAAATAATTTTGTTTGAATGAGTGTTACATTTTAGCCATTTACTGGTTTAAAAAAAAAATTATTTGCCCTTTATCCTCAATATTTACCTTTTTACATACTTTTTTGGCAACTTTTGAAGAAGTACCAAAAGCAACAACTAGATGAAGCCAAAATTATTTTCACCTCTTTCTCAACCTCACTGCTTAATTCAAGGTTTATTTCATCATTTCCAGTCAAGAAATTTAAGTTACTGTAGTCAACAATTACAGAGTAACCATAACATCAAAAAAAAATAATGTGCAATAATTAGAGTCTTACAGACTTCCATGATCGTATATTTCCAAGCAAGCCAATGGAATGGGTTCCATACAAATCCTTGCAAGCAAAAGAAGAACCTAAAGCTGTTGCACCACTATCATCTGCTTTGCAAACAGCACAATTTGCCTATATTTCCATGAATAAAATAGCGTTAATTTGCATCCAATGTGAAAAATTAACAATTTACATATAGTTGCATGCTTATCTCCTAACGAGAGGACAACATTTAAAACAAAACTAAAGCATACTTAGAATAATTTCATACCAATATCACATGCCCACTTTCCCATCCATACAAAAAAATTGAAAATAACGATGCTAAATTTTAGAAAGCTTTTAAATATCAACCTCCAGTACCATTTGAAACAAAAAAATTTGTAATCTTATTCTCAATACACCAACAGTGTAACAACCATTGATGCTACTTTTGGTTGTAGAAACACAAATACAAAGCGAATTGACAGAACCAGGTGGAGCAGGCTGGGGCTGCACCCCTCTCCTCAACCACCAAGATTCTGAATGCAGAAAGTAGAACTGGTACTCTTAAGCTCCTTAATCAGTAAAACTGAATTCAACAAGTTAGCTGCAGAAACAGAGCTGTTATATGCACATAAATCAAGAAATCATGAAGATTTGGCTGATGCAATCTTTGGTAGGGAAGTCTAACATAATTCATCCATTCTCATAAAGTCTCTTAGTGAGATAAATTTTATAGCAATCACAGGGATAGTCCTTAATAAGAAAGAGGAAACAATATAAAAAAAGGGGAAATTTTCTTTTTGTGCTTCTCCCTAGATTAAAATGGACATACAAAAAGATTGATACTAATATACAAGTAAAACTCAACAAAAGATATAAATGTGTGCTGTGTTCATCTTAGCATTTTTGTTTTTAGTAAATGTAGACTGCAACCATTTGCTTTCTTTAAACTCTCTTTGCCAGCCACTGCACAGATTATGAACTTTTTAATTGTTATTGGAATGGAACAATATCATGTACAAGCAAAAGGGTGAGAATGCCTAGTCAACTTCAGGATTCAGGTTTGGTTTATCGAGTATAAGATGTTAATATAAAGGAACAAATCTAGCACTAGCAAGAATGGAATGAAGGAAAATGCCATGAATTGCAAAAAGAGATTTAAAGTATTCACTAATCTACATGCAATAAGGCTTTTATAGGAAAAGTTAGCTACTACAATCAGCTTCTCCAATAATTTCAATCTTTCAGAACCACAAGATGAAGTTATTCGCATGGCAACAGATATAATGCGCATGGTATTTACATGCCTCCATAGAAACCAAACCTTGTATCTTCGATACCGTGCCTCGTTATTTCCCAAAAATTTCTTGATAAACAAATCAGTCAAAAAACCAGCAAGACCATCCAGCAGCCACTCTGACAATAATAATAAAGCACCATATGAGCACTAACAGATACTTTTCTCCAAAGTTTATCAAAATAAATTAGTGCTTATCAATTAGTTCAAATATCAGTCAAGCATTACAGGTAGCCCTTATCAATCAACATACCATCATTTGGTGCCTCTGGAGTAATATATACCCCAAACCACTGTCTTGCAAGGGCAAAAGCAAGTTTGATGCATGTGTCTATTGTCTGTCAAGTCACAAATTTACTTATCAACAACAAAGGACAAGAGAGTTCGTGAAATGGCTACATTATCAAAGATATAACAATGAAGACATGGTATACATTGCAATTCATGCACATATAGAAGTTCAACTAACCTCTAAGGACAATAGACAATAAAGCAACCATACAAAAAGCAGAAACAACCAAAATTTTAGAAAGAAACAAAAATAGCATTATAAATGAGACATTTTGCATTGTAGTCCCTATTAATTGTCAAACATCTAAACTAAATCTAATTTGAAACATGGGAAAGAGTATCATGCATTTAAAGGTCATAACAAACCCAAATCAAACCAATAAAACATCAACTAACCATCCCCCATAAAGTAGGCCTATAAAACAGTCAAGCCAAACAAAATTATAACATGGACTAGAAACCTACACTTTAATAGCATTTTTAAACATACAAACTAAAATTAATTGCAGCCGATGTTAAAAGTAAGACATCCTTCTTCAATGGTTCTGGTTTGATTTTAACCAAAAATGACAAGTGAAAAAGCTAAAGACAATGGTTTGATTTCAACCCAAACTACAAGTGAAAAACATTAAAATTCTGATAATTTAAAGCAGAACAAAGTTTTCTCAGGAAGCATGATGGTTGGCTTCTTTCATTCACAGCATTTTTTTTTTTTTAATTTCATTGGATACATCACAAAGGTTGGAAGCAAACAAACACATATATGCATTCCTACAGACAATCGTACGATGGTGTTTTTCTGCAAGGTTGACATCCCCCTCTGGAAAAATGATATATGAATACAACATTCAAGTGGTAAACTTGTTACTTTTTGGAGACCAATTCAACTTATTAATCTGGATTTCAAAAAAAAGAAAGGGAGAGACGACCATTTTTGTTGGTTTAATGTAATACTTAGTCATTTATTTTGCATCTTAAACTGCCTCCCAGTGTAATAATGCCAAAAAGGCTCCATATTTATGAATAAACTAATGAGTCATGAGCCCTCAGCAACATGAGTTCAAGCAGTGAGCAAACCTGATCAATGACCTTCTCATCAAATAAAACTTGAGAACTAAGGATGCTCAAGGAGGCTCCAAAATTTGAGGAGGATATTGCCATCTCAGGAGATAAGAAAACTTGCTTGTATGACCCAAATGGAAACTTTGCATCAAGATACTGCTCATACTCGCTGTGGAAATATAAAATAACCACATAAACAGTGTAAATAGGAAACTTACATGTAGATATCCTAATTATTAAAAAAAAAAGATTTTAATAATAAAGTTAGTTTTAACCAAAGATGAAAACCTGAATGCACTATGAAAAAACTCCACTGTGTTTCGTAGCTTTGGCAAATCAGGTGGCAAACACATGTGTGAAATGAGACCATTATGCTGATCAGGGAGGATTTCAAATGGTCCAACTGCCAGGGATATCCACTGAGAAGTAACAGGAACATCTAATCTGTAGACATATGTCTTGTGAGGAGGGTCATCTCTGCTCAATACCTGCAAAATGGAACAACTAAAATATCAGAAGACTCTCAACAATAAGTGACAAATCCTTATTATTACTAACGAGAAAGATGGAAAAACGTTGGGCCCATCAAGTTCAGCAATATTGGTTGAATGCTAAAACACAATGGTTAAGAAAACAAGTAACATATTGAAGAAAACAAGGCTATACTAACCATCCTTATTCATGAAATTCAAAAATCTTAGATTATTATAAAAAACCACTGCAGTGTTCAACCGGTTATTCATCTCTACAATTGCAACACCAGATATAGGCATCAAAGTCAAGAATTCAGGAAAAATGATGCTCTTCCAAGTAGTCAGTAAGGCTGATGTTATCTACATAACTTTAGGGAACTGCTTTTTGAAATAAAAATGAAGAGCACTACCAAGAAAGTAAGCTAGATGCTAAGTACATGATTAGCCATACACTATTATTAACATATACCACTAATCCTCCTTATATGAGTAGGCTGCTTGTTTGGTGCATAGGTTAGACTCGGTAAAATAACTTCTTATTTCATTTTATATTTGTTATCATCTCCAGTCCTTTACTTGAGGGATTTGAAAGTTAGTTGGATTAGTTATCCAACAAGGATATGATTAAATAAGCCTATGAAGAGGAAAAGGATTAGATTATTCTAAACAGAAAAGATTATTTAAAAAGATAAGAGTACTTTATTATGCAACCACTAGAATAAGATAAAATAAAAACAATTTGCTTCTCAATTTTGTCTCATCTGATATTTCCCATAATCCTATGGGCCACGCAATCTAAGTGTGTTGTTTCCTACTATATTGGGGTTAGTTTGAACTGAGTTAAAGCTTTTTGCTAACCTTTCTTCTTTTATCTCTTGTATTTTCAATTTTATATGCTTTTTCAGAATTTTAATTTTGAAAAATTTATCTTTATTGCTTTAAATAAAATGCCTTTTCTATTAAGTTCAGACTGGTTGTCCACAACCACTGATCAAAAAATTTTGGCCTCCACCCTTAGTGACTGAGGATGTACTCTGTAATGCTTCCATAGAACTTTGGCTGAGAATTCACCATGCAAATCACTACTATATGCATGTCCTACAATTTTTGGCAAGGAAATAACCTAGATATCAACTAGTTATTTTTCTATCATATTTGTCTCACCTGATATAGTAAGGTCCCATTGCTGACAGCCACGAGATTATGGGCAACTGTAAACTCCAGATCATAACTGAACAGAAATACATACAGATGTAAAATGCCTAAAATACCCATATTATTATAAGAAATGACAGAATATAATCTCATTACCAGCACCGCTGATTATTGCCATCAATACAAGGAAACCAACACCGAGAACGCCTTAACTGATTATCAGTATGTACCACATTATCCTCAAAATGAATCCCTGTCTCCATTTTCTCTACCCAATAGTTAACACGAATAGATTTCACATTCTGCACCCAATACCAACCTACATGAGAAACCGGAATACCCGTAAACCTCATCAATCAAACTCACTACACACAGAATACCACCCAAAAACTTCCCTTATTTCTTTCCTTCACAAAAAACAATGATTTAGATATCATCTTGTTACTACTTTTGTTACTTGCATGAAAAGCATGCATCACAAGAAGAAAAAGCAGAAAATATATTTGTAGAACTAAAAATTTTATACATATTAAACATAAATATGTATGTTTGAATATTAGAAGAAAATTCATGTTATATACTACAATCATATTAAAAATGATGCTACATTTTAGTCATTTATCCCATTTTACCATTTTATTTTTGCTTTATAACAATTTTGAGAAAACATTGTAGTCATTTACCCCTTTTTACCAAACAGAAACCTTTCTTCTCATTTTTGTTGTTTTTGCTTACATATTTGGAGAAATCAAAACCAAAAACGGAACCAAACAAGCCCTACCACATTGATTAAAACTTTAAGTCCCTTAGCATTTAAAAGCAACTCAAAAAACAAATTTAAATTCAAAAAAAATTTTACACTAAAAAACAGCTGCAGTCACCTGCTTGACTTCAGCAGAAGATTGGTCTCCATTAGTCTCCGTATTAACCGGCTCAATTTGCATCTTATTGCAACAATTGATGAGCAAATTAGGGATCAGTTCCATCTCCAGTGCCGTAACATAAGCAGCGGCGGCAGCATCCGCGGCTGAAATCGGAGAAGACACGGCGGAGGCCCACCGTTTTTCACTATCGGCGCCCTGATTATGCGGGTAATACTCGAACTCCGTCAGGTCCCCATCCACAAGCACACTCTCGATCCCTAAATTCTCCGCATGTAATCCAACGATTCCTATATCAGGTACCTCAATTTCCAGCTGAGTGTAACTGAAAAGCAACCGAAATGACATTGTTTTAAGTAAACGGAACGATTTACGCATTTCCATAATAAAATGTAGAGACAGGGGAAAGTGAAATGAAGTAGAATAGAATTACCCGTAGATGCGACGGAGGTTCGTGTCGATGGAGAGGCAGAGCTTCTGGTGGCGAACGACGGCGCCGGAGTTAGCTGGTTTGGGGTCTTCAGGCTTAGGCTTGCGAGGTTTCGCCATGGGTCAGGGTATGTTCTTTTTGCACTCTAAAGAGAAGCCGACGAGCTCTTTGTGTAGTGGAAGGGTGGGTTTATTTATAGAGAAGTTCACGAGCTCTTTCTGTGGCCTAGCTGATGATGATCTGCCCTGGCTTTATTATTGGTTGGATCAAATACCATGGCGTGGCAAGATATGGATCGAAGGGCCAGCGGGGGAGTCTGTGGCTTAACTGCGTTTGACTTGCTTAGGATTGACGTACTCAATAGTACTATTGCTGTCCTCAATTTCTGGAAACATTAAGGCAAAAGGTTTTGTACAAAGTAAAATGTGAAATTTTTGGACAAATATTAAGACCTAATTTTCCATTGTTATTGTGTATTTGAAATAGTTGAATTTAAAAAGTGTGATAAAGTTGTTCTAAAACTTATGATTTAAAATTTTGGAGTATTTAATATTATTGTAAAAATTTATCATGAAAAATTAAAATGTTTAAAAATGCATGATGTTAAAAATATATATGTTATTTCGTCAAAATAAATTACTAATATATTTTTAATAATTTTGTCTCCAAATCATAAACTTTAAACCACAATTACACCTTCCTATTAGTTTTTATGATTGATTCATTTTTAGCGGTTAAAAAATATTTTTAACACAAATCAAAATTTATTTAGCATTTTGCTTTTACATTCAAAAGTTGCGGTTTGGAACTCAAACACAATGCCAAGTGAAGTCCAATAGTAGATTTAGAATGTGTTTGGACTAGAAAATTATAAATTTCAAAAAAGTTGAAATGATAACATTTTAAAATGCATCATTTTAAAATATTAGTATTTGTAATTATTTTATTTGAATAAGTTTTTTAAAAGAAAATTTAGTCTAGTAAATTTTGATGAAATAATAATAATAATAATAATAATAATAATAATAATAATATGGGTATTATTAGATTTATAAAAAAAATGTATAGATATTATTAATAATATGAAAAATAAAAAATATATATTAAAGTTAAATAAAAAGCTGTTTATTTTTTGAGTTTTATATTTTATGGTTCACTATATACAATTAAAAAATGAAAATTTTGGAAGAATTTTAAAATTTTAAAAATTGAAAAGCTACTTTATAGGTGGAATTTCAAGAGAAATTTCTCTTAAATTTTGAAATTCTATCTTATTTTTATCCAAAATGTAAATTCATTTTTAAAATTTTGAAAATCTTGATTGAAATGAAATTCTTCCTCTTTTAACAAAAAAAATATAAATTCTTCCTCCAAATTTCCCATCTAAAGTCCTATAGTACATTTGGATGGAAAATTTTGAAAATTTATAAAATGCATCAATTCAAAATAACATAATTTGTGGTTGTTTGGTTTGAATAATTATTTTTTAAAAAATTAAATATTGGATCCTAAGAGATAAAAAATCATTATAATAGAAAAGCAATGATATTAGAGATAAAAAATAAAATACTAAAAATATGCAATATGGATATAATTAGATTTGTAAAAATGTTTAAATATTAATAACAATAGCCAAAAATTAAAAAATATATAATAATTTTTATAGTTAAAATTTAAGAAAACAGAAGTGTAAAAAAGAAAACATAATAAATGTTAACTTCTTAACTAAAAAATTCCACAAATTCTACCTCTTTACATGGAATTTAAAAAGAAAATTTGAGCCCTTCAAAATTTTTCATTCAAATTTTCAGAATTTTGACAATTTTAATTTTTATTTTGCTAGACAAAGTAATTCTATTTTAAAATTTTAAAAGTTTTCACTACAAATGAAATCATACTTCAATATTTCTCATCCAAATACACCTTTTATTGTATTTTAGGTTTTTTACAAAAGAAATATGATACATTAAGTATTTTGGAATTTTATAAAATATAAAAATATTAATTATTTTATTTTTGAAGATTTATTGTTTTGATTTTTCTTTTTACACAATAAATATAAATATTACATATTTTAACTTTTTTAATAAATTAATTTAAATAAAAAAAAGAATTTAAAACTTTATCATATTAATTTCAATGTATATTTGGAAGTATTAATTGTTTTCTTTGTTAAATAAATAATAATAATAAACAAGTTTTAAGTTAAGTTTCTAAACAATGAATAAAATTTTAATTTATTAATTAATCATTTAAAAAAATATATTTAAAAATAAAAATATATGAAACTATTTGTAGACACCCAATTTTAACTAGATTGACTTGAATTTGTTTGATTTTTAAATTTGATTTTAATATTTCAATTTGAGCTAACTTAATTGGATTTAATTAAATTAAATTCATTCAGGTTTATCTCGGATTAATTGTTTTCGAATTGATTTGCGTAATTTAAAATTCAATCTAATTTAATTCGGATAAATTCAGCTTTGTCCGATTTTTACACTCGAATTGAATAATTCAATTTGACCAATTTAAGCATTTTAATTAAATTAACTCATTTAGAGCTTTTCTCGAATTAATTGTCAAATATAATTCTATTTGAGTCAAGACTCGATTTAATCAGAATTAATTTAAAAGTTAGTTATTTGGGCTTGAAGGCTCGATAAAGGCCCAAATTTCAATTTTAAGTGTCGTAATGGTTTTGGGGACAGCTAGACGAATTTGAAGGAAAAAAAATGGAGTCGTCACCATTTTTTTTTTTTTTTGGCTAAGTGTAATTGGTCACCTATTAAAATTTATCATTTTAATAAAATTTTAAAAACTAATTAAAATTTATTAAAAAGATAATTTTTTGGTATATGAAAAACAATTTGTATTCGGAAGTCGATTACGCGTGATGAAGGATTAGCACTCTTACAGCATATATTTAAAATGGTACTAATTAATTATGTATTTTAATTATGACTAAAGTGGTCTTAATTTTGGTATTTAAAATTTAATTTTCTTAATTTTCTTTGAAAACATATTTTTTATTTTAGTAAGCTTGAATAAATAAAAACCCTATATTGAAAATTTTCTAAAAATATTTCAACATTTTGGCAATGTTAAAAGGAACTGTCTCACCTAAGAAATTTTTAAGAATCATTACTCGAAATTCTAAAAAATCCTATCCTTGGTGGTTCATATTTATTTTCATAAAATATGATATCTATAATTTTAAAAACAAATAGCATTTTCTAAAAACTCATTTTTATGCCATTTATAAAAGAACAAAAAATCTTTTTTGAAAATTAATCTAAATACTCCGATACATTTGTGGCATTTTATATAGATTTTTTACCAAATATTCTTAAAAAATTACTACTCGAATTAAGATCTCATTTTCGGAGTTTTTTTGTTTGTTCTTAAAAATTATTAAAAGTCATGTAATAATATAATTATTACAAATATATTTATTTTTTAAAAAACACACTCTTATTTATTAAGACAAAATGTTCAAATTTAAAAAAATAATTAAAAAATAAAAAATTTTCGTATTGAAAAGAAACTTTCAAATATTTTAATATTTTGATCATTTTTAAAAGACTTTTCTCACCTAGAAAATTCTCGAAAATCACTACTTTGACTTCTTGGAGTCCTATCATTGAAAATTCTCATTACTTAATTTTATTATTATTAAAAAAGTGCTTTTATAAATATGTACATTTTTTTATCTTTTTAAGAGAATTGTTCAAATTAATTAAAAAATTTTGTATTAAAAAGAGTTTCTAAATATTCCAATACTTTAGTAATTTTTAGAAATATTTTCTCACATAAAGAATTTTTGACAATCATTACTTAAACTTTTCGGAATCCCGTCATCAAAAATTTTTATTATCATTATGAATATGTAATGCAAACAATAAAGTAGAATATGCACACAAAAAAATATATTATTTATTATTATGTAATACATTTTATTATTCATTTTAATTATGTTTTAATCTTTTTTAATTATTTCACAATTATCATTAAAAACTTTAGAAAGGAACAAAGTAAATAAAATCTTTTATTGAAAATTTTCCTAGATACCTTGATACTTTGTTGATATTTTAAAAAAATATTCTCACTTAGGTATTTCTTAAGAATCTTTACTTGGCCTTCCTTAAAATCACATCCTCGAAAATTTCATTCACTTTTTCTTTTCTTACTTAATTAATTTTATTTTTTATTCTAATTTTTAATCTATAATTATATCAATTTCATTACTAAAATAGTCACTACACATTATTATTAACATCTATAAAAAATTTTAAAAAATAGACAAATGAAACTTTTTGTATTGAATATTTTTCTAAATACTTCATTATTATAGTAGTACTTTAGAAAAATATCCTCACCTAGACATTTTAGAGAATCATTACTCGGATTTCTTTAAAATATCATCCTCGAAAAATTTTCATTCAATTTATTATTAATAAATTTTGCATAAATATAACATATATAAAGAAACAAATTACTCTAAAAGTAAATTGGAATATAAAATTTTAAATTACATAAGAAATCAAGAGAAGCATATAGATCCACTCACAAGAGTCTAAAAAAAAGAAGAAAATTTGAATTGTAAAAAAAAGTGTGCATAGCTTTGAATGATAAGTCATGCATGAAGAGAGGCATTATGGAGAGCAAACAACTTTCAGCATGTAGTGAATCTTTTGTTCATTATTCAAGCAAAATGAAAACTTATGGCCACCATCTATTCAAAGACCAACATCACATTCCCCTGCAATGTATTATTTGTTTAAAGTCACAAAATAATAAAAAAAAATTCAACAAGTCATAAACTACAAGTCCTAGTATCTATACTTTGAAGACTTTTTCTTTTTTTTTTTTTAGTTATTGGTGGAGTTTTCTAAGGCTATAATCACCATTGCCTTTCCTCTAACTAGCTCTTTTCTAAGAAACCATATAAACCAACTATAATATTTATAGCATCAATATACAAAAACAAGCTTGGAACTACATTAGCAACTACATCCATATACAAAGCATTAACCAAAAAATGGACACAATCAGTAAAAATGGACACTAATCCACCTAAACTAACAAATTTGCATCAAACAAGCCAATATACAATGAGGTGAAGGCAACAAACATAAAAGAAAATGGAGCTTTGTTCATGACAGTAACAATATAAAAAAAAAAGATAAAGAAGGCTACCCTTTCTCTTTTTTTTTTCTTTTAAAAAAATGCTTATTTTCCCCCTCTTTTGCTTTACATTTTCCTTTTCTTTCTTTCAAGCCCTCTTTTTTTCTTTTTTAGTAGACCTTTTCCCCAATTATTTGGCATACTCTTTCCCCTTTTTTTTCTTCTTCTTCCTTCCAACCTTCTCTATTTGATAGCTTTTTTTTTCAACAATTTCTTTCCTTCCTTTTTT